GGAGCCGGCTCAGCCTGGGCTGATTAAAGCCTGCCCGACTCCCGACAGGCCACCAGATGTTCCCATTGCACCCAGTGACTGAGGCTGTGGAAGCTGGACAGACCCGAGCCCACCGCCCTGCTCCCCCTACATGGGTTGACCTTCCCCCCTGGCATTCTGAGCTGACTCTAATATTTCTTGGGAAACTTTGGGGCTTGTCTTTCCATCTGGGGACCTTTCTGTTTGCCCTTCTCAATCAGCACGGGGTAGGGCTGTGGACACCCAAACAGGAACAAGCTATGGCTCCTCCCCTAAGTCTTCCAGGTTTGAGTGGGAAATCTTGGTGTCTTCTCATGTACTGAGCAAGATCATTCGTGAGCTGGGAAAGTGAAAGCAATTCCCTGTTCGGTGTCTAAGTTCACAGAGCAGGTGTTGGGCTGGAAGGGGGGTGTTAAAGAAGAACGGCATGGGTCAGGGGTTCTCAGGGTGTCTGGAGCTCCTGTGTGCTGCGTCCTTCCAGAAACTGTGTGAGGGCATCAGTTCCATTGATTCGTTCACTTGCAGGCTGTTTAACAAACAGTAATTGAGGCAGTGATTTCTGGCTTGGGTCTGAAGAGGGGGCTCGGGTGGGGGGTGAAGTCAGAATGCCAACCTGTTGACCCAAATTGGAAACCCCGGGGTTTCCTTGGGCAATTGGCGGAGATGGGTGTGTTGGAGGGGAACTGAGGGCCACTCCCAGACCTCTGGGCTGAGGGACTGAGTTTGTGGTGTCCTAAGACCAGCGCAGCAAAGTCAAGCAAGGCTGACCTGGAGGGGAACACAGAGAGTTCCATTTGGGACAAGCTGAACTTGAGGTGTGGGGTGGCGGCTGCCCAGGGGAGACAGGCAGTAGGAGGCAGAGGAAGGACCCGAAAGCTCAGGAGAAGCCTGGGTGGGAGAGAGCCGTGGAAGCTGCCAGCTTGGAGGCTGCGGCCGAAAGCCGAGCGAGGATGAGGCCTGGAGTGTTCTGAGCGAGAAGGCCAGGGCCAGGCTGGAGCCTAGGGGCAGGGGCAGGAAGATCCGCCGCCCCCGCCGTCAAAGACCAGGAATGGTGATCAGACCCCAAATGGCCAGAGGAGAACCCCGAGGCTCAGCGTCAGGGACGCTAAAGGAGAAGTCATCAGGAAAGTTGAAGTGACCTGCAGGATCAGAGGTAGCTGAAAACTGGAAACTCCGGGAGGAGTTCAGCAACATGGAAGTCCATGAGGTGTTGGGGTGAGGGGCCGAAGGCAGACTGGGGAGTGGAAAGGGGGGACAGTGAGCACTTCTTAGACAAGTTTGGGAGAAAAGGGAAGGAGTTGGATTAGACGACGTGAGAAGAATTGGGCAGAAAGGGAGAGAGATGATGGAGGAAGGGGTGGCCCCAAAGCCCCACAGCAGCTGGCCTGCCGTTGCCTGGGACCTTCTGCCAATGAAAATGGAGTGGACCCCAACCTGCAGGGAGATGGAGGCAGTTGCTCTGGCTGAAGCAACGGGGGTGGAGGGCCCAGGGTTCTGCTCACCTTGCCCTGCAAGGAGTGTCACGGAAGCCCCGGAGTCCTCAGCAAGTGGATATGCAGAGGGCTGTCAGGCAGACGGGCAGGGCTCTGAGGGGCCTGGCTTGACCCCAGGAGGTTCTGGAAAGCCCTCTACACTCAGCAGCCCAAGCCTTCTCCACTCCAAGCTGCTCATGGGGTGAGGACATGACCACCTCAGCTCTCTGTGGGGCAGATGTCCCCAGGCTCTGCCATGCCCCTGAATGGCAGCCTTGACACCTGGCCTGGCTCCTGGACTTTGATTTTCTGAGAATGCCACAATAGCCACAGTGATGACAGTAATGGTAATTTATTGAGCTCATATACTTTCTATCAGTAACGATCTTGTTAGCTCTTGACCTGAGCCCTCCTTGGGTACCCCTGGTGGCCAGCAGCCTGGCTGGGCACCCCTACCTCCCCAAACACTATTCTTTGCGCAATGACCCCACTGCCACCTTAATCCCCTGGGCATGCTGGTGATCCCACCCAGGCAGGGTACGCCAGCTTCCCCTACCCACTACTGCTGCAGCCCCCTGGTGTTCAAAGATTTAATAATCAGGGTTTCGACTATTTGGAAGAAAAACTCCAACCCCAGTATATGTGACATGTAACCAATGGTACAAATTTGAACAGACAGTGATGAGTGGGAATGAGCATGAGAGAGGAACAATGACAAATAGATAAATGGGGCTAAGGTGGGCTCCCTGATTTCATACAGACTCACAGTCCCAACTCACCAGGAAGGGATGGGGAGGTCATATTTCCTTCGATGAAATGAATTAGGAAGTAAGGGGCTTCCTAGTGGGGATGCTCCAGGAAGGGTTTCTTAGGACAGTGACTGCCAAGGAGTGTGTTCTGTGGCGCCCCAATCCCGTGAGACATTCCTTGTGATCAATTAAATTTGGGAAGACCATTCCTAGGGGAGCCTTACAACACACATCACCACATTCAAGGCTTCAAGGCTCTGAGAAGTCCTGCAGTAGCAAAACCTACTTGTCTCACCCAGCATTTTCCACACTCATTTGGTCATGGAAATTTTTTTAAGTGACCCCATTAATATCCCTTTGAGGAGCCCTGATCTACACTTTGGGAAGTGCTGAGACAGACCACTTGACAAAAGTGAGATGTCTCTTGCGTACATCAGGGGTCTTATGTGTTGCCCTCCCCACACACATCATACCACATCCACCCCTAAGCAGATCCTTGGAGTTCTTTGCCCAGACATTCTAAAGATATTCTTTGTAACCCTGACTCCAAGCTCTTCCCTCATCTGGCCCTGAGTCATGGAAGGATGCAGAAGGAAACTTACGGGGGCAGGGGTCTTTGAGAGACATCTTGGAGCAGAAGGACAGACCAGTCCGCCCACACAGCTCTGACTCTTCACCTGCAGAGACAGACAGATGATAGGGGTGCCCGCACAACACCCACTGACCTTGCAGGGTGGGAGCTCATGTTCCCTGGGCTGTCAGCCTCAGGAGAGAGGATTGTGACTCTGAGAGCAAGTACCCACTCTGGATGGGGGCCGGGGAAGCTCTGGGCTGCAGTGTGGGGGTGCTGTAGCAGGGATATGGCAAATTTGTGCTGGGGTCCCCATGGTGGGTGGAATCTCTCTCCTGGGTGGACCCTTGAGTGGGAATGGGAGATGCCATGGAGTTCTCCTGAGTCATGAACCTGTGAGATCCCACTGCCTCAGCCAACTACATCCCAAGCATCTTATAACTGTTGGGCCTAGAAGGACCTTTAAAGATCAGACCAATGTCCTCATTTTACAGAAGGGGAAACTGAGACCTGGAGAGAGTGAAGGGCTAGTCCAAATTTCCACAGCTGGCTTTGGAAGGGTGTTCATAGGTGCACAGCTCAAACCATATTATTATTACTATTGTCCCAACAACTTTAAGAGGATACTCTTTTCACTCTCATTTTATAAATAAGGAAGTTGAGGCTGAGAGAGGTTATATAGCTTGTTTGAGGTCACACAGCTTCCAATTGCAGGCTGGGACTAGAACCTAGTTTGTCTGACTCTAAGGCCACAGTGTCAGCCAACACAATCCCTTAGAAGGCACCTAATGTTCTGGAATACAGGCCCAGAGAATGAAAATGTCTCTTCCCCAACTCTCCCTACTTGGTGTGACCTTGACGTGAAGCCTGGATGTCTATGTAGCGAGGAAGCGCCAGGCCACCGTAAGGCCCATTTCCAATGGAGGAAACATTTTCATAATGAAACCCGTCCTTCCTTGCCGGTGTGGCTCAGCGGCTGAGCATCGACCTCTGATCCAGGAGACAGCGGTTGGACTCCGGGTGAGGGCACATGGCCGGGGTGCGGGCTGGATCCCCAGTAGGGGGCGTGCTGGAGGCGGCCGATCAATGACTCTCATCACATGCTTTTCTCTCTCTCCCTCTCCCTTCCTCTCTCTGAAATCAACAAAGACATATATATTAAAAAAAATCAAACTGCACCACGGATGCCCCTCTGCAGCCTGGCCTCCCAGGCGAGGCGCGCTGCTGCGGGTGACTCATCTCCGGCTCAATTTTCTGGCTGGAAACTGGACCGCGGGCGGGCGCGCGGGGGCGGCGCGGCACTCGCAATAATCTGATGCGTCTGAAGGGTCCGCGGCAAGCCCGCGGCACCCACACCTCTGCCCAGTGCCTCCCGCTCCCACAATGCCTCTGTCCTGGGCGCTGCGGCCCCGGGCGTGGACAGTGAGTGCGTGTACACGCGAGCCCCGGGCTCCCAGCTGCGCGCCTCCTGCCGCCGGGGCGGCTTGGCGCATGCGCGGCAGCGACCCAGAGGATTTCGCGACTGCGCCAGGCAGGGGCACCGGGAGGCAGGTGGCCGCGCGAGCTTGTGGAAGACGCCCTGTGACATCCACATGGGCATGCGGCTCAACTGTGCAGCTGGTGGGCAATTAACACATAGACATAAAATGATAGAAAGTCTCCGAGGAGGAATCATGCCTGTAACTAACTACAGATCATCTAAGATACAATGTACCTGCTCAGAGAGTGATGAGTCACAGTGAAGTTCTAAGCATGCTCCACCTATCCAAGTTCCATAGCCCTGAGCCTTTTTAAGCCTCGGTGTCCTCACCTATAAAATGGGGACGATGATAGTACCTAAATCGGGGGGCTGTCATCGGAATTCAAAGGGAAAATGCTTATACCTGGGGAATAGCCTGTGTTTGAGGCACGTTCGTGATGCAGACACCGCAAGGCCACTGGGAAGGTTCCAGGTGACCGAGCCATGTTTCCTCTCCCCCACTTTTTGAAAGGTTTGCATCACGCCACTTTGCTTTCAGGAAAAGACCTACGCTAGTACCTGTTTCCGCTAATAAGATTTTTGCTTTTACCGCAAAAGGCGAAAAGCGAAAATAGCGGCCAGCGTTTGGTTTGCAGCAGCTGTAAGAGAGGCAGTCCTGCACCCTGCAGCTCATTCCTGGGGGAGGACAGTCAGTATCTGGGAGTATCTGCGCCTTATCTCGATTTATTCTGTGCACCTGTTGCCAAAGCTCGTGTCCTAAGGTGATAGCATCTTCATTTTACGCCATTTGGCTTAGGAAAGGTTTCGCGGGAACACTTGTTCAAGCAGCAGGGGAAACCTATATATTATTTTAGTCCTTACAACTGTACTGGGAGGTGGTAATATTGTTCCCATTTTCAAGAGGAAACTGAGGCTCTGAAAGATAAATCTCCTGCTCAGAATCACATGGTATATTACAGTCCAGTTCCAGAAGCCCTGCTGGCCTCAGTTTCTCCATTTGCTTTTCTGCCCCTTACCCTGTGCTCAGAGCATGTCCAGGGCAAAGGCTTCTGGATGTGTCTAATTGGATTATTCCCAAAGTCTGAGGGTGATGCTCATATCCCCATCATGGTTCCCATCGGCCTTGTTCCAAACACTATGTGAACCAGGAGATGCAAACCTCCTAATTCGTTTCTGATTAACTCAGAGTGAGGATTATGGAAGATCCTCACTCTAGGGTGTGATACTCTAATGGGTGAATGGGGGTGGGGTAGGCTACAGAGGAAGAAGAGAAGGGGTTTCTGTGTAGAAGGAGCCCTTAGGAGGCAGCCCGTTCTGCTTGTCTAGCCAGGTCCCTACCAGGCACCATTGGGGAGACCCACCCATCCTCTGCCCCCCACCTGTTCTGGGCAGCTGGGCCACAGGTGCCAGGACTGACATGGTTGTCTACAAGCTGAACCTTTGTTTTCTTCTCAGTAATGCTCCTGGCCACCTCCACCCTCCATGCCACCCCAAGGATCCCAGCATCCCCTCCTAGACCCTGGGCTTCATCAGCTCTGTTCTGGGTCTGAGGCCCCAGCTGCAGAGACCAGGCAGATCTCTTCCTGGGGATGTTCCAGTTCTGCCATTCTAACCTCTCAGTTAGCCACTGGCTTCATTTCCTCCCTGAGGTTCATCATTTCTGGGGCCTCAGGGCTCAGTGGTCTGGATGAACACACTATGGCCAGCCTAGAATCAGGGTTGGGACCTCTTAGATCTCCTGCTGTCTCCTTGACCTGGTGGCTAGTCTCCCTGCTGCTTTCCAGCCTCAATGGTCACCTCTGGAAGGCCCACCTGACAGCCTGATGGCTCCCTAGGGAAAGTAATCCTCCCATTCCCCCACACCCCAGAGTGGAGGGAGGTAGGCAGAACTCCCTCTCACCGAGTGAGCAATCCATGAGGAGCCCTCCACCAGGGCAACAGACATCAGCCAATGGCAAAAGGAAGCGTCAGTCAGATACAGTTTTTTCCAACCTGGATGGAAATGGCAGGGTAGGGAGGGGCGGCAGAGGGCGGGGGAGGAGGGAATGTCTGAGAAAGGGCCCTCCGGAGGGAGCTTTGTGTCTCAGTTATGTGTCTGCAAGGCCCTGGGGGATTCAAAGGCTTCCTCAGAGGGGGCTATGTCCCCACCACATCATGGGAACTGAGCCTCAGCATCTACAGGTGCTGGTCAGTTCATAAAATGACACCTGTAGCCAACCTGAACGGAATACTGGCTGTCAAGCACTGTGCCCCAGGCCTCCGACAACATCGTCTCATTTAATCTTCCCAATCCACCTTCCCCATGTCAGATAGGGAAACTGAGGCTCAGAGAGGAAATTGAGGCACAGGGTGAGGAAGCCACTTGTTCCAGTAGAGCAGTCAGGATGTTTGAGGAGTCAGGAGGGGCATCCTCTGGGCAGGCGCCATGGGTACTGTGTGGAACAAGACCAAGGACCTAGCTCCTGGAGCCCCCCCCTCCCTTGCGCTTCACACCTGCCACTTGTGCCCTCCCCTTCGCAGCCTGGGTCTGGCCACCCATGCTGGCACTTGCGTGGGACCAGAAGGGCAGCCCTGGGTGCCTCGCAGCCGGCCTCCAGCCGGAGGAAGGCGGTGGGGAGAGAAGGGCTGCGCCAGTGGGCCTGAGGAGGGGGTGGGGGAGACGCAGCTGTGTCGTGTGGGTTTGTGCAGCCGGCCAGAGCAGCGGCCTCGACTCGGCCCGGGCTCCCTCTTACCGCGCAAGGAAAAGTCTGCCGCAAAGTGGGAGAAGGTGCGGTGCGGACGCCCCTCTCCCACCCTTCGAACTGGGATTCGCTGGCGCGGCGGCCGGCGCGGCGGGCACTGGAGCCCGGCCAGCGCCCAGGTGACCCGCACGTCGGAGGGTTAAACTTCCCGGCTCAGGGGTGGGGAGTGGGTTCTCGCTTCAAACTCCACAAAGCTCAGACCCCCTCTTCTCTTCCACCCCGCCCGAAAGTGCTTCCTAGTTTCCCCCTACTTGGGTAGGTTAAAGGATTCCCAGAACTGACGGCACCGGGGCGGGGAGACTGTCTTATGTCCCTAACGTGGGGTGGTGGATGCTCGTCTGGGACACGAGTCAGGCAAGAATCCGGGAGACCTCCCCTTCCCCGCGACCCGATGGCATGCTCAGGGGCAGACGGGGCTGGTGCGGGTCCCCACAGAGGCCCGGGGGCCGGGAGTCCCGGTCCGCGGGGATCGCGTTCCCAAAGCGCTGCGGCTGCGCTTGGCACCGCGCGCCTGCCCTCCCGGGGCGAGCGCCCCAGGTGCGTGTGGAGGCGCGGCCGCGGCAGAACGCGGGAAGGGCGCCGAGACCCCCTCCTTGGGCCTCCCCGGCACCGCCCGCCTCACGCCCCTTACTCGGCTTGGCTGCTCCGCTCCGCGCACCAGTGTCGGCTC